TTTATCTATAGTGTTTTTAAGTGTATCTCTTTGTATAGCCTTTCTAATGGTTGCTGTAGGTATTGCATTTTACATAGGTTACTTAGTACAGTCTACTGATTACCGACATCTTACCAGTTCAAGTGAAGAGTAGAAATATCACCTCCCTTTATGTCCTTTTGGAAACCATGGTAGCGTAGTGATTAAGTGCTATGGCTGCTAACCAAAAGGTCGGCAGTTCAAATCCACCAGGTTCTCCTTGGAAACTCAATGGGACAAATGTACTCTGTCCTATAGGGTTGCTATGAGTCGGAATCGACTTGACAGCAGCGAGTTTGTTTTTTTTTTTGCTTTTTATGTCCTTTCACTCTCCTTTAGAATAGGTCACATTTTCCTGCTTCTTCATATATTGAGTAATTTTGGATAATATGCTGAAAATTGTGACTGTCATGTTGTGGAGATTTTGGTTTCTCTTTTATTCCTCTGGAAAGTATTTTTCATAAGGCAATTAATAGATTTAAACTACAGACCCTGTTTTGTGCCCTGTATCTCAAATCTCAGTTTAGTTCTTTTAACCTTAATTGTACTGCTTCAGGTCTGTCCTGGGCATTTATGTTTCAGGGCTCAGCCAGAGATTTGGGCAGAGTTTGTATGGAATTTGTCTCTTTCTCTTCGTGGGATTACCCCTTCATTTTCCACCATCTGTGATTGCCCTTCACTCTGTCTCTTGGTTCTTTAGGTTAGAAAGGCTGCAGGTTTTCTATTGGATTTTATTTGCCTAACATAGTACAGGCTGGCGTATGTCCACATGCTAGAAGGGATAAAAATGGGAAACCTTTCTTCCACATGTCAGCTTTCCTCCAAAATCTGCCTACCTTGGTTCATTCTTCAGTATCTTCAGGTAGTTGTTTTTGTATTTTGACCAGAGTGTATACTTGTAATCAATAGGAAGATGATCCAAAAGCAACTTACTAAACCATATAGACTGTATAGAGTATTGTAAACAAATTTAAAAGTACAAGCAGTCCTGGGATTACGAATGAGTTCCGTTCCTAAGTCTGTCTTTAAGTTGAGTTTAGAATTTATGCGTGTGTTAAGTCTGAACAGTTAGGTATTGTTCGTATCTAACATCAGTTTGTCAAATGTTTGTCTTAGTATATAGTATATAGTGTACCTTTCTATGCATAAAAAAATTAAACACTTCCAGATACACTGAAATATCTTTAACATAATAATACAAAAATAATAATAATAATGTTTTGATGTCTGTCGCAAAGTAGCACCTGTTTGTTGTTATGAACCATTGTACATACCTCGAATTTTTAATATAATAGGCTTTACGGGGCTTGGTTCATAACTGTGGGTGGTACGGTATATAAATTGGACATTCATAACCCGGAGACTGCCTGTAGTCTCAGTTATTGATTCACAGATGGAACCTCTAGGAAACTAATGCACCTTGTACATTTCTAGGTTAGAATAAGGATTTTTTTCCCTAGACATAATGATCAGTGACATTGGTTACATTTTTCACATTGTGTTGACATTCTAATTATTTCTGTTCTAGTTGTTTCACTTCTATTTGCTTAATCACCCTGCCCCCAACCTTCTCATCTATGCTTTAAAATAGCTGTTGGTCCTTTGGTCTTAAATAGATAATTTTTCTTTTGTTTTTTTAAATACAATCCTCAAGAGTGACAGTCTTTACTCTTTGGGCTAAACTGTTAGCTTAAAGATGACTTCAGGGAATAGTTTCAGTTCAAAGTTTAAAGAGCAACTCAGGGCCAGGCAATAGTCTTGGGTACTCCTTTAGCCTCAGTAGGTCTAGTAAGTCTGGATTCTTGAAGAATTTGAAGTTCTGTCCCACATTTTCCTCTCTTTTTATCAGGATTCATCTCTTGTGTTCCTGATCAGAACATTCAGTAGTGGTTAACTGCGCATCATCCAGTTCTTCTGATCTAAAAGTAGAGGAGATAGTGGTTCATGTAGACAGTCCTGTAGTCTAGTTCCTTCTCCGATTCTTGAGTTTCCTTTTTTATCTTTTATTCCAGACAGATAAAGACCATAGTTGTATTTTAGAATGCCACTCGTAAGCTTTCAAGACCTAGACACTACTCACCATACTGGAAGGTAGAATATAAACTTTTAAGAACTATATCATGCCAATTGAGTGGATTGTCACACAAAACCACGGCCCTAAGCCCCCAAACCAAGACAACTATTCCCATGAGGTGATTGGTTATGTCTCGTATCAGCATTTGTACCCGCTTCCTTTGTGATGTTGTTATTGTTGCAAAACTATACACAGCATAGCATTTGGCCATTCATCACTTTTCTCTAAGTACAGCTTATTGACATCACTTATATCAGTCATGCTGTGCAAACTTCACCCATATTCAGTGCCACTGTTCCCATTTCTATAAACAAAAAGTGACTACTAGCTGGGGAATATTTCTTCCTCGTCCTCACTGCTGGTAGCCACTACTGAACATTAGTTTGTGTATATTTACCTATTCATGTCATTTCATAAAAGTGAGAACATATGATATTTGTTTTTTTGTAATTGACTTATTTTGCTCAACATAATGTCCTTCAGGTTCATCCACATTGTAAGATGTTTCGGGAACTCATATTTCTTTATTACTGAGTAGTATTCCGTTGTATGTACAACATTTTACTTATCCGTTCATCCGTTGATGGGCACTTGGTTTGTTTTCATCTTTCTACTATTGTGAATAGTGCTGTAACAAACATAGATGTGCATATGGTGGTTCATGTTGCTTCTATTAGATCCCTAGGGTATATACCTAAGAGTGAAATTGCTGGGTCATATGGCAGATCTGGAACCCTGGTGGCACTGTGGTTAGGTGTTTGGCTGATAACCAAAAGGTATAGTTTTTTGAGGAACTGCCAGACTGTTTTCCACAACAGCTGTACCATTTTGCACTCTCACCAGCAGTGGATGAGGGTTCCATTTTCTCCACATCTCCAATACTTTTGTGGGTTTTTTTAAAAAAAATTTTAGCCATCCTAGTGGAAGTGAAACAGTATCTTGGAATAGGGATACTTTGAAAAAATATTCCCTTCTAATTTCTAGAGAATCTATACTTGGCAAAGTTTTTTTATTATTAAAGTGTAAGCGTTGTGCCATTTTGTATTTACACCAGCGAATTATAAGAGTACATTTCTCCTACCCTTCACCAACAGAATGTATCTTTAAGATTTTGAATTTTTGCCAGTTTTATGGGTGAGAAATGGTGTTTTAATGTAGTCTTATTTTTTTTGGTAGTCTTTTTATTTATTTATTTATTTTGGTGATGCTCTGGTGAACTTTGAATATTCACTGTTCTCATATTCCAGGCTATTTCCATTTCCTTAAGCTGTCACTCCTCTCCTTTCACCTTCCTCCATCCCTGCACACACACATTCTTTCAGTTTTATCTTTTTCACTTTGAAGATTTGGGTGAAAATTTGGTTATCTACACAACCACTGGCATTTCTACCAGAACACCTGTTCTTGCTGTTTTTCTCCCCCTAGTCTCTGCGGAACAGCGGACGCTACTTATACTAGTCTCTTTGTTTTATACTGTCTTTTCTTTGACTCTTACCTTGCTCCCGTTTTATCTCCTCTCACTTCTACATTACCTGTAGTATTTGTTGGCTCCTCTTCTGCTTTCAGATATGCTCAGTTTCCTTTAACATGAAAAAACCTTTTCCTGAACACCTGAACTAAATGTTTGTTCCTTTTTCTGTACCTTTATTTATGTTACTTTACCTCATTTGCAATGTCCTTTCTTCTTCCTTTCACCAATAGGAATTTTATGGTGTTTACAGAAAGCTGTATCCTGAAACTGTTAAAATGCTTGTCTGAATTATAATATTTAGCAATTTCTGCTGTTTTACATAGTCTTAAATTCCCAGTTAGATTGTTTTTAACTTTCTATTATGGAGAATTTCAAACATACGCAAAAGTATACAGAATACTATCATGATCCCCCATTTTTCAGCCCCACAACAACTATTACCCATAGCCAGTCCTTACTATCCATTTTCCCTGCCCAAATTCAGAATAATTTTATTTGAATATACTTTATATATATGTATATACATATATGTAACATAATCACAATATCATATCACATGTAAAAATTACAGTAATTCCTTAGTATTTTCAAATATCCATTCATTGTTCAAATTTCTCATTACGTCTTAATGTCTTTTTTTATACTTTCTTTGGATTTATTGATATGCCTTTTAAGTCTATAGGTTTCTCCTCCCCTCCTCCCTCTCTCTAGCTTTCTATTTATTTGTTAAAGAACTCAGGTGATTTGTCCTTAGTTCCTTTCAGTCTGGATTTTGCCAGTTGTATTCCCATAGTGTATTTATTATGTTCCACTTCTTTATATTCTGTAAATTGATATTTGGACCTAGAGGCTTGATCAAATTCAAATTAAAGTTTTTGGGTTATTGTTGTTTGTTTAGTTTTGTCGTCAAGGCTACTTCTCTCAGGAGGCTCGTGATATCTGGCTGTCTCTCTTTATGGGATGTTAGCAGCCATTGATGTTCAGTCCTAGATAGATTCATTAACTCACCCAGATTTTAAGCTGCTTAAAGGGTGGAACTAGATCTTAAATTTCCATAGGGCCTCTTACAATATTGAGATTGTTTCTTGATTGATTTGTGGAAAGCAAGCATAACTTGATAGTACTGTAGGTTTTTGAGCAATCTAGATTGATTTTGACCTTGGGAAGTTCTTGCTCTGAAATTATGAGTTGTGTTTACCCTGTTTCATTTTTCAGTGCTTTCCTCTTTCAGACGTTTGAAGCATGGGGTGTGATTTGAAGCTAATTAGCTATAAAGATGTAATTTTCCTAGTGGTTTTGATAATTTTATTAATCTTTTGATATTTGATAAATGATACAGTTCCTAAGTAATATTTAAGTCTGTTTTTGCTAATCTTTAATGTTTTTGTATATTGTAGTTGTCAAAGGTTTGTTTGTTTGTTTTTCTTTTTCCCATAGAACATTCCTGATGTAGATGAAGAAGGCTATAGTATTAAACCAGAAGCAAATCAGAATGATATCCTTTCATCATCTGGATATTCTTATGATTTGTGTTGGCATATAAGCAGATAATTATAACAGAATAATCTAGTAGTTAGCTGAAGCCTCTTCAAGTTTTTAGTTAATTCTAATAAAATGACTCATTATTTTTCATTTGACATATTTTTATTAATAAAAGTTAGTGGCTTTATTTCTGTTAAAGTTCATCTTATCTCTTAAAGGTTTTTGCTTCTTTTTATAAATATGCAAAAAACTGGTTATGCATTAAGATAATTTAAAAATGAAATTCCTTACCTGATACTCACATACCAAAGAGAACCATTTCTACTCATCTAGTGACTCTGACTCTGAAGATGAAGAACCAAAGAAGTATCGGATAGAAATCAAACCTATGCATCCAAATAATTCACATCACACAATGGCTTCTTTGGATGAATTAAAAGTATCTATAGGGAATATAATGCTCTCCCCAGCAATATCTGTAAGTAGTAGAATGAGCAAGTTTATACTCTATATAGAAGCCTTTATTTGTTTGTTTGCCTCTTTATGATGTATCAGATTAATAGAAATAAGGAGATGTTTAGTTTATAGTTTTTATACAGGAAAATGAGTTTGTGAATTTGGCTTAGTTTGGCTTGCTTTTGAAAGTGTTTTATAAGCAAATGAAAATCTAGAAAATTCACTGTTGCTGCCATTTGTTGCGTTTTATAAATGGTGCCACACTCCTTAGGTAGAACTTTGTGAACTGGCAGCGTAAGTCTTTTCCTCATCAAATTTTGAAGTTTTTCTTCCGTGTTTTGTGAACCTTATGAAATAGGGAATTCCACAAAAATGAATTGAAAGATGAAATTATATCTTCGTATTTTTTTTGTCTGTCAGTAGAACATTTCTTTTTCCAGACTTCTCATAAAAGAAAAGGCAAAGATAATAATTCTTAGTGTTAGTGGCTAATTCCTCAATTCTAAGATAGCAAACTGCATATAGATTTTGAGGGAGGAGAAAAACTACCATAATAAATCTTTCCCTTCAGAAATGTTAAACTGTGAGATAAAAGCATGTCTTAGAATGAAAATCAAGTATCTCTGTAGATGATTATCATAACGATATTAAACCTCTTCTTAATAATACATAGAGAATAAACTCACTATTTCATGTTGTTTAAGTATATTTTTTAAGCAGTCTCTATGTATTTTGTTTGGAAAAAACATTTTTCTACCAGTCATACACTTTAGAGTTTTTAATATTAATATTTTTTCCACCAAAAACACAGATTTCTGGACTAAGATTTATTGTACCATTACTATTTAATATTAAGATTAATGTTGGATTATAAAGATAGTTGCTTAAATTATGGTGTATACTTATGGAATAGGAAGTTGTGAAACCATTAAAAAATTATTGTGAAAGGGCATAAGTAATTTAAAAAGATATATAATAAAACCCTAAAGGAATATATAATAAATGTTAAACATTTATCTCTAGGTAGTGTGATCATGGATGATTTAAAATTTGTGTTCTTTTTTCTAATTTTTTTTAAAACAATGAAAACATATTCATTTCATGCTCAGAAAATGAATAGAAATAAAAATTTTTAATAGTTAATAATTGGATTTGAAAAGAGGATTTTTTTAGTATACTTTGTTGCCCAGTTTGCTTATTGCTTGTCTAGCTTAAGTTTTTTTTCCCCCAATATGTGTGTGTTTTAAGGTGTATATATTTTGAGGTATGACTCAGAACAGAATAGAAAAATTATTAGAGCAGGAAAATTCCATACTTTAAATTTAAACTGAACACTGTTTTTCTTTTTTCTTCCATGTACTTCTAGAGACATAGCCCAGTAAGTATAAGACTTTATATTTTCACCTGTTGAATTTTCAAAAATCTTTGTAATATTTGAACATTGATTTTCAAAATATTTATGTTAAAATTATTTAAGTTAGCAAGTCACAGTATCTTTTGTAGATGTGGATATTTTAAAACATTGGATATTAAATTTACATGTATGATTATTTCTTACTATAAAACAAAAACTATTCAGTTATTTATTTCTATTCATCTTTTTATATAAATATAGTTCACAATTGAGCAGATATACTAAAAACAACCTAAAAATTAGGTTCTTAATATTAACATATTTTTTACCAAAATTTATTGTCAAGTTAAATTATTTGTTTAATAGTACTTAGTTTTTGAATTTCTGTTTTAGGTGCAGATGAATCGGAATTCATCTAGTAAGTTTGACATTTAAATTGGTTAATTTATGTCTATTAAATTTAATAGACAATTTGTTAATCTTTCAGCTGATGCAGCTATAGAAATAAATGGTCTTTTTCATCATGAGTCTTAAAGACAGAAGGATGTTTATTTTAAACAGAAGACAGTTATCTATATTTTTTATTGTAGCATTAAAAGAACATGCCTTAAACTGTATTACATGAATTGTGCATTAAAAATAACAAAGCTTATGGGAAAAATAGGGTTGAGGCAGCTCACTGAAAACCTATACAATTTTGTAAATAGAACATTTAATAAAAACTATAACATCAATCCTAATAACAATTCTAGCACAATTAAAAAGACTTATTAAATTCATAAATGCCAAAATAAAGCAGTTTTACCTTTAAAAAAGAAACGGTGAAAGTATTTCGATTATAGGGGATATGAGGAGCATGGGGATAAAAAGAGGCAACTGAGTTATGGAGATGAGGACAAAATACATAAAGATGGAGAACAGCGTAATTAGGACTTTGAGGCAGAACAAATGGCCAAACTGAGCCACAAGGAAGAATGTGGTGTGAATGAACATTGTGTACGGTGTAGTGTTCCTTCATGGTTTGCTGCAGTTACTCATATTGGTACACTTTGCATTAGTCAGCTGTGTGGTGATGCAAAACAGTAGGATGCAAAGAAAATTGCTGATGAACCAATAAGACTTTAGCATTGCTGATACCATTCCCCTGTTTACCAGTTACTTATGAAGTACTTCATGTTGCATATGCAGAAGGTAGCAAAACATGAAGAGATAACCTACTTAATGGGAGAAAATATTTGGGAACCATATATTTGACAAGAGTTTAGTATCCAGAATATATAGAGAACTTCTACTCAACAACAAAAACAAAAAAATCACAATTAAAAAATGGACAAAGTACTTGAATATATATTTCACCAAAGAAGATATACAGATAGCCAGGGAGCACATGAAAAGAGGCTCAACATCATTAGTCGTTAAGAAAATGCAAATCAGAATCACAATGAGATACCACTTCACCCCCATTAGGATAGCTATTATCAGAAAAACGGAAAATAACAAATGTTGGGGAGGATGTGAAGAAATTGGAACACTCATCCATTGCTGGTGGGAATGTAAATGGTGTAGCCACTGTGGAAAACAATTTGACAGTTTCTCAAAAATTTAAATATAGAATTACCATATGACCCACTCCTAGATGCATACACAGAAGATTTGAAAGCAGAGACTCAAACAGATACTTCTGCACTAGTGTTCATTGTAGCCTTATTCACAATAGCCGAAAGGTGAAAACAATCCAAGTGTCCATCACAGATGAATAGATAAACAAAATGTAGACTGTACATACAATGGAATATTTTTCTGCCATAAAGAGGAATGAAGTCCTGATACATGCTGTAACATGGATGAGCCTTGGAAACATTTTAAGTGCAGTGTCAGACACAAAAGGACAAATATCGTATGATCCCACTTACATAAAATTTCTAGAATAGGCAAATGTATAGAGACCAAAGTTTATTAGTGTCACCAGGGCCTAGGGGAAGGGGGAAATGGGGAGTTATTGCTTAAGGGGTATCAAGTTTCTGTTAAGAATGATGAAAAAAAAAATTGTAAACAGATAGTGGTGATGGTTGCACAACATGGTGCATGTAATTAATGTCACCGAATTATACATGTTGAAATGGCAAATGTTTTAACATATATATTTTACCACACACAAAAAAAAGACAGCAGAACAAACTCTTATAAAGAGACTGTTGCTCTAGTCTGGTGTAAAATTTTTAATTTTCCAAATAAGACTTCCTTTAGGAGTTTGTAACTAATTTGATAAGTATAATAATCACTAGTAATATTCTTAGAACTTGAAAAAATTTTTCATAATTCATATCAATAAAATTCTTGAGTCAAATTCACATAAATATTTAAACATTTCTTCTGAGTTTTAAGGTTATAACCTGTGTTTTCTCTCTTCTGAACAATTTTATTTTAATGAATATCATAGTTTTGTTGACTTAAGTAATTTCTTACCAAAGATGTTAGAAGAAATCAAGATTTAGCAGAAATTCAGCTATTATTTTAATATTCTTAAGCACAATGAAAAACTTGTTAAAAGCTAACTTTCCTTCTCTTCATAATTGTTTAAATTTATGTTAGCAATTCCAAAAATTTTTAACCATTCATAGTCCTGATGTGTGTGTGTAATATTTCTTTTTATATTAAAATATTTTATTACCCAAATTATGAATTTTTTTCATATAATTTCTCAACTAGGTGAAGAGTTAACAAAATCAAAGCTGTCTGCTCCATCCAATGAGTAAGTTCTGCTTCAAATTTTAAATAACCTTTTGTCCTGTTTTCTAGAGTGTTTTCATTACCTCTGCAGTTTTGATTCCAGTAGAGTGTTGTTGATCATCCTGTTTGCTAAGCAGTGAAATGCCATGGTGGAGTTTTTGGATGTTTTAAATTATTTCTTACTTGGCAATATTTCTTTTTACAATAATTTTAAAAAATCCATTCAACCACAGTTGACCTTGGTGTTCTAACTGCTTCTAAGTAAATGATTGTATCCCAAGTTCATACATGTCTGTATTTCAGCTAGTTATTCTCATGGAAATTTTCTCCTTTTTTGCTTCAGCTTTGGCTGTGACCTTGTAAAATGGACTGTATGTCATGAGTGTTCAAAATGAGCAAGTGCCTCAATTAAGTGGAAAGGGGAGAGGGCTAGAAGGCATGTTACCAGCTCTTCTTTAAAAAAAAAAAAATTAAGCCAATGTTGCATGGGCCCTTTTTCGCATCTATATCTGTATCTATCAATAAGAACAGTGATACCTTTGAGTTAATTTTTTTTTTTTACATGACTAAAAGTAGGTTTAATTAAATAAGATTATTTGATAGTTTTGAAGCTGGGTACTAATTGAGCAGTGTTGGTATTCACTTGATTTATCATTTTAAAAAAGTTATTTAGTGTTTAAAAACTTTGTTTTTAGGAGTCATTTGTACAATTGTAATGTTATATTTTATCGTACAAGGTGTAGTATGCTTCCTAAAAGCATGTCCTGATCCTAGGTATGTGTTTATAGATCACTGTAACATTTTCATTATAGTGGGTCTGCTATTTAAGATTTCTTACAGTATTTTTTTTAAGTAATGGAAGTTAGATACATTAACTTATTTAAACCATCATTCTGTACTTTAGAAGTAGTAAAAAATATATATCCTTTACTTTTCATCTTTGAAAATAAGTGTAGCCTTATAAAAATCTCTACCCAATTTCACATGTTTAAGAAATGTTCTGTCCGAGAGTGGGTGCCAGGCTGTGAATCAGCCATCCTGAGACTGTTCTGGTTGTGTGTCCTTGAGCAGCTCATTTAGGCTCTGTGCTGCTGTTCTTCACTGAAAAGCTGAAATCGTTATTCCTGTTCTTACATCTCCTAAGATTATTAGACTATAACAAGGTGTGATCAGTGAGGATTAGTCTTCCTGACTCTCCCCTATCAATTTCATATAATGTTATTGTAGATTCTGCTTGTAGCACTTAACAAATATTGGTTTATTAAATCTGTTAAGTTTCTTCATACACCACTGGAAGAGTATCCATCCTTTTAATTGTGTTTATTGAGCTGTTATAATTCCTCCTATGAAATAAAGGTAAGTGACTAGATTTTAAACTAATAAGATATTCCTTTGTTAAAATTCTTATTTTTTAAATGTTATGCTAGGAAAGGGACCAATGATTTACTTGCTTGGGACCCCCTGTTTGGACCATCTCTTGATTCATCATCTTCAGCTTCACTAACTTCATCATTGTCAGGTAAATATATATGTGTGTGTTTATATATATATATTTGTTATTGTTTTTAACTGAGGAATACAATAGTTACTTTTTTAAAAAATTGATTTATTCACCACTTGTAGGTTATACTTAATCAAAATTTTATTAACTTGTTCTTTGATGATATTGCCAGATAAAAGTGATTTTTTGTTAATTTACCTTAAAGACCCTATGGTTTAAACAGTAAACGTTTATCAGACACCAAGGTTTCTTTTCATTTATGTATTGATTTTTAGGCATCATTCCATATCTATACCTACATTTTTAAAATTATGGAGAATTCAACTGCATAGACATGCATTAATGTACCCAGTTCTTTCTTGATGGGCATTCAAGTTGTATCTAATTTTTTAATATCATGAACATACATGGATATTATAAATTTTTTACTCATGTCTTATCCTTGTAATAATTTATCAATATAAAATTGATGGGTCACAGGATATGTCCATTGATACCTATTGCCAAACTGCTTTCCAGAAAGGCTTTAGTGCTTTCTAAGCAATGCATGAAAGAACTTGATGTTTTTTAGTTGTTTTGACAAGAACGTGTTAGTTAACTTTCTCTTTTCTTCAAAATATAAAATTAACCATTAGCCAAAAATCGAAGCAGGCATCAAAAACGTGTCTTTAGTAAAGCCCCTGCTTCTTCAGAACAAGAAAATAAAATATATTTAAATTGATCTTTAATGTCCTTCTCTTCTCTGGGGTTTCAGAATTGCCATACAATATTTGGGGTTATGGAACTGCTAGAATTGGGGGCGGGGGACGGGAATTACATCTGTTGAGTTCCTGCTGTGTCATTTTGCTAGGAGCTGTATACATTCTGTTTAATTTTATCTTAACAGCGGCATGACGTCCTTATTGTCTTTATTTTTATAAATGAATACACTAAAGTTCAGAGAGGATAAATAACTTCTCCAAGATCATATAGCTAGGAAATGATGGAGCCAGTATTCATACCTGGATTTTGCTAATTCTAAAATTTTTGTTCTATATGCATTACACCCTGGCAGATTAGCAAAAAATAAGTCATGTTGAAACATTTTACTATTAATAATAAATACTAATATTTAAAATTAGACTCTTTAGAGACTATTTTAGAATGAATTGCAAATAGACTATAGGCAACTTTAACCCTAAACAATTTGAAATTTTGAAGGGAGGACGATCTTTACCTAATACTTGTAAAACAACAAGGAACAGGTCAATAGATAGTTGAACATTTTCTGAAGTGACAGTATAGCTTTCTCAATGGACATTTGTTACTATTTAGTTTTATAAAGGGGGCAGTGATAGTTCAGTGGTAGAATTCTTCCTTTCATGTGGTAGACATGGGTTCAGTTCGCAGCCAGTGTGTCTTAAGCACAGCCATCACCCCTCTATCATTGGAGGCTTGTTTGTTGCTATGATGCTAAGATGTTTTAGCAGAGCTTCCAAACTAACAGACTAAGAAGAAAGGCCTTGTGATCTACTTCCAAAAAATCAGCCAGTGAAAATCCCGTGGATCACAGTAGTCTGATCCCTTTGTGCTTTGGGTCACCATGAGTTGGGGGCCAACTTGACGGCACCTAACAACAACAACAAGTTTTATAAAACTAACCTTACAGATAAATTGTATGAGGGAATTAATGGTACAGGAAAAACTGAAACTGCTAAGGCTCATTTTTGTTTAGAAAAATGTCAGATGGTGTTTTGTATTTACCATGAAGAGGGTTCTAAATAGTATTTTTAAAACTTTATTAATATCCTTTTATAAATTATTCAAATCATTAATAAATTTTTAAAATTGGTATCAAATTCTGTGCTTTGTTGCTTGCTATTTTCTTTAGCACAATCTCTTCTTTTTCAAAAAACTTCTCTCTTTTCCTCGTTACCTGTCTAAAGAATGTTTTGCCCATATCACCTTCACTTCAGGTAAAAAAATGATACATTTTCATTCAGTGGTCATTTGATGTTTAGCAATTAGGAGATGTTTAAACATTTGTTAAGCTTTGGCTAGTTTCAAAATTCACTTCAGTATGCATTTTTAAACCTCCCCCCATATTCTGAAAAATATTGTCATAAATTATTTTGCCCTTCAAAAGTGTTAGTGATATTGAAAAAAGGTAATTATCCTGTCATATAGTAATTAAGTCTTCACTTGAACAGAATATAATTATTGATCAAACAGCATTACATTATTGATATTTTCCAGGTTTGCAAGACTGGACCTAAGTGAAATTCTAAAACAGACATTTTGTCTTAAATATTGTGCCATCTCTTTTTTTCAGTGCAGTGCACCCCTCCCCTATCTTAAGATCCTCTCCTCTGGTACCCATTTTCAAGTTTTAGCAAGATCCAAGTTGTCAGATTATTCCCTACCCTCCTTTGCCTGTTTCAAAATCTTCATTCATCAGTGATCTGAACTCAAATTATTAGAAAGCAGTCTAAAAACAAATTCCAATCAGTTAATAGCTGTCAGATAAAAGTGATTTTATCTTTTTATAATAACTGATGTGTTCTCTTCCAGTGATGTTATATGTTTAAAGAGGATGTTTCAAGCTTTGCAGAGACGTGATTTAGTTGTGTCTTCTACCATGTAGCTAGTATTTCTAAGCAATTTTTAACACATGCAGCTTGTTATTTAACATAAATATCTCATACTTCCCTCCCCTTTGATAAGACTTACTAGATTTATTTTCTTCCCTGCCCAAGGATTAAAAGAGCTCTTGTGTTCTGCAAATAATCCTTAAAATTATCTTTTGAAAAATATTTGGCTGTTTTTTATATTAACTAGAACACTGATTTAGTCTCACTTACTTCCTGTGACACTGTTAAGTTTCATCACTAGCCAGTCAGGAACTTTTTTGAGTACCACGTATACACAGAACTATCACTTTGCACTTTGTCATCTTTTTAGACTTTATACCAACTGTTACTTTTGTTCCTCTGGGAAAACAGAAAGAATTCTGGTTTTATGTACTTTTGGACCTTCAGTTTTATTCATATGTATTTTAAATTTCTCATGCTCATACTTGCTTTCCTCAGTTAATATAAAATTTGAGTTCATGCTGTTGTTCCATGTATTTATTAAATTTTTCTAGTTTGGAATAATAAAAATAACATTTCACTGAAACGAAGAGAATCATTTGGCTGTATAGATGTATATTTTTCTAGAATTTTCCTGTTGCTTCTAGTTTTCAATTGTTTTTCTCTCCTTCAGCTATCCTTAAAGAGCAGAATAGGAACGCCTCTTCCTCTCCCACTGATTTGAGTGGGTGTATGATAATTGAATCTTTACTGGGAACCAGGTCAGATTCTGGGTCGAGAAGCCCATTACCAGACTTTTTCACTAACCGTTTATGCTATCCTGCTGTAACAGCATCACCACAGAGCACAGATAAGTTTCCTTTTGCTTCATGGCGGCAAAGTCAGTGGATCTCCCTTACTGATGAACTTGTTACAGTTAATCAGTTCAGCTCAGAAGGCATTGCAGAGATTGTATTATAAAGCTAACAGTACCTTTAGGTTACCTGATGCTTTGGATTGGAAATCTTCCAACAACTGTATCTCTGAGGATCGAAGTGACCTATGCCATAATATTACATGTCCTGAAAATTTACTGCCTGAAGAAGCGAACAATGCTGCTGATAATTCTACATCATTGTCATTTGCTTCTGGATTCTAGATTAGTCTCTGTGTGATGGTAAAATTTATGTGTCAACTTGGCTCGGCCATGATTCTCAGTGGTTTGGCAGATATTATGTAACCATCCTCCATTTTGTGATCTGATGTGAGCAGCCAGTCAGTTGAAAGGGGAGGTTCCTTGAGGGTGTGGCCTGCATCCAATATATAGATATTCTGGCAAAGCTTGCCCTCTCTGGATTTTGCATCCAGCTCGTCATCCTCTGACCTCCAGTTCTTGGTACGTGAGCTAGCAGCCTGCTGTCAGACCTGCCGATTTTGGGTTCATTGGTCCCTGCAACCACGTGAGTCAGTAGAAGCCTTTAGCCTGAGGTTTGACCCACAGATTTAGGACTTGCCAGCTTCCACAACTGTGTGAGCCATTTCCTTGAAATAAATCTCTATATTTATTTAAATATATATATACACACACGCACACACACACATATAACACGCTTCACTGGTTTTATTTCTCTAGACAACCCCGCCTAAGACATTTGGTTTGAAGAGTGCGGTGCTGCTCTAGCAAATAACTAGAATGTGGAAATGATTTTGGAATTGGGTAATGGGAGGAGGTTAGAAGAGTTTTAAGGTGCCGGATAGTAAAAGGGGGCCATGGTGGTGCAGTGGTTAAGAGCTCAGCTGATAACCAAAAGGTTAGCATTTTCAATCAACCATCCACTCCTTAGAAACCCTATAGGACAATTCTACTTTGTCCTGTAGGGTTGCTATGAGTCGGAATTGACTTGATCTGAATGGGTTTGGTTTGGTTTTGGGAATAGTAAAAGCCTAGATTGCCTTGAAGAGACTGTTGGTAGAGTTATGGATGTCAAAGGCAATTCTGGTGTGTGCTCAGAAGAAAGTGAGGACAGCTATAGAGAAAGTCTCTGTCATCTTAAAGAATACATATGGCAGCAGCAACAGAATGTTGCTAGAAATGTGGATGTTAAATGTGCTTCTGGTGAGGAATTAAAAGAAAGTGATGAATGTGTGGTTGGACAGTGGAGGAAGGGTAATGCTTTTTATGCAGTGGCAAAGAAATTGTCTGAATTATGTTCAAATGTTTGGTGGAAGGTAGAACCTGTAAGTGATGAACTTGGGTATCTAGCTGGTAAGATTTCTAAGCAAGATTGTAAAGGGGCCATGTGGTTTCTCCTTGCCGCTTATAGTAAAATGTGAGAGTAAAGAGATGGACTTTTTATGAACTGTGCAAAATGAAAACAGATCTTAAAGATTTGGAAAATTCTGTTGTACAAACTAAGGACAATATGTCCTAGAATGTTCACCAAGGATGTGGCTACACAATCTTGTTAAAGAGATTAAGCCTGTGATTGATGGATCTAATCAACTAACACAGCAAAAAACCCATCAGCTTAGACTGAAGGGAACAGAGAAAGAATGAAAGGAAAGAACACTGCCTCTTGGAATTCTGTAGCCAGGAAACAAGCCAAAGAAGCTACTTCTCTTGTCCTCCAAGAAAAGAAAAGGACTATCTCTGGAGCAACTTGGAAATCAGCAGAACTGTTGGAAGGAGCACGGAAAGCAGGGCTTTCTCAGTTTCAAAGGGTGGGGCCACC